TTGGCCAGGGATAGAGATGGGGTTTTGCCTTGTTGCCCTGGCTGGTCTCAAACTCCTGGGCTCAAGTGATCTGAGCACTTCAATCTCCCAAAGTGCTGGGATTATAGGCATGAGCCACTGTGCCCAACTTATTTTCTATTTTTACTTTTTTGAGACAGGGTCTCTCACTCTGTCATCCAGGCAGGGGTGCAGTGGCATGAACACAGCTCACTCCACCTCTGCCTCCCGGGCTCAAGATTCTCCTGCCTCAGCCTCCCAAGTAGCTGGGATTACAGGTGCATGCCACCACGCCCAACTAATTTTTTTTATTTTTTGTAGAGACGAGGTCTCACAACATCCTCACAACATTGGGTCTCTTTGTTGCCCAACCTGGTCACAAACTCCCAGGCTCAAGTGATCCGCCTACCTTGCCCTCCCAAAGTGCTGGGATTATAGGCTTGAGCCACCATGCTCGGCTGAGGACCACTTTTATAGTGCTCAGTGAAAGAGGTATATTTAGACATAAAGTCAGCTCAATAAACACAAATTTGGCAGGGTGCAGTGGCTCACGCCTGTAACCCCAGCACTTTGGGAGGCTGAGGCAGGTGGATCACTTGAGGTCAGGAGTTTGAGACCAGCCTGGTCAACATGGTGGAACCCTGTCTCTACTAAAAACAAAAAAATTAGCTGGGCCTGGTGGCATGAGACTGTAATCTCAGCTACTCAGGAGGCTGAGGCAGGAGAATCACTTGAAACCAGGAGGCGGAGTTTGCAGTGAGCCGGGATCATACCATTGCACTCCAGCCCGGGCAACAAGAATGAAACTCTGAGGCTCGCGCGGTGGCTCACGCCTGTAATCCCAGCACTTTGGGAGGCTCAGGCAGGCGGATCAATGAGCTCAGGAGTTCGAGACAAGGCTGACCAACATGGAGAAACCCTGTCTCTACTAAAAATACAAAATTAGCTGGGCGTGGTGTCACATGCCTGTAATCCCAGCTACTCGGGAAGTTGAGGCAGGAAAATTGCTTGAACCTGGGAGGCGGAGGTTGCAGTGAGCCAAGATAGCGCCATTGCACTCCAGCCTGGTCAACAAGAGCGAAATTCCATCTAAACAACAACAAAAAAAGAATGAAACTCTGTCTCAAACAAAAAACCCAACACAAATTCAAGTCATACAAATGCAAAGATACATTTTCTTTGCTTGGAATTTAACTTTCAACGTTTTTTCCAGGATCTGGGCTATGGAAACGGACAATTATGGAAATGGGAAAAGTCTACCCCCTGGCTTGCCCTGCCTTGGAAAGAGCTCGGGGGTGTTCCCCTGTACCTCTATGCACTCTGTGCAAGTAGAGATACTCCAGATAACCCACATAGTCCGCTTCTTCTGTGGCCAGGAAAGCAGCTGGACAGCAGAGGGCGATGAAGAGCCACGGACTTTGCCTGTAATCGGCTTGTAATGGGCTCTGAGGCCAGAGAATTTCTCAGACAGAAAGCTAGGGATCTTGGGTAGTCTTCTTAGGCCTCATGTGTTGTGTGATTCTATAGCAATTTCTCTTATTTTATTCATTTATCTATATAGAGACAGGGTCTTGCTCTGTTACCCAGGCTGGAGTGCAGTGGTGTTATCTCAGCTCACTGCAGTCTCCACCTCTTGGGTTCAAGCAATCCTCCTGCCTCAGCCTCCTGAGTGGCTGAGACCACATTTGGGCACACCACCATGCCTGGCTAATTTTAAATTTTTTTGTAGAGGCAGAGTGTTGCTATGTTGCCCAGGCTGGCGTTAAACTCCAGGCTTCAAGTGATCCACGACCTGCCTTGGCCTCCCAAAGTGCTGGAATTACAGACGTGAGTAAACATGCCCCTCTCAATCACTCTTCTTTTCTTCAGAAACCTGAGTGACACCTGAGAGGCAGCCAGGGAAAGAGAATGAACTCTCTGGAGTCAGAACTGGTTTTGATTTTCACTGCATCCTTTTGAACTGAGTGACTCTAGCTAAATAACTCAGTGAGTTTCAGTTTGTCTCTTTATGTGTGAGGAAAGATAATTCTGTTGTGCAGAATTTGTCTCAGGAGCCTCTCACAGGGCTTAAGGTTGAACAACAATTCGAGGCACTGTCCTTGGCACTGGAGAGTCCACAAGGGGCAAAAAGCAAACATGGCTTCTGCCCTCATAGAATTTACAGTTTAGTAGGGAGGACTGCTTTTAATCAACTGACCCCACAGACAGATTGCAAATTACACCTGTGCAAGTAAGTGCAACAAAGGAATGATCTCAGAGCCTGGGAAGGAAGAAGTGCCCAGGCAGGGAGATCTCCCTAAGGTAGTGAGGAGTGAGTTCAATCTGAAGGATGAGTAGGAGTTTACTAAGCAAAAAGAGAAAAGTCTTGCAAGAAAAGGAAATAGCTTATGCAATGCCCACGTGTGTGGGAGCCTGCCGCAAGGCTGATGGGAATGCAGGGAAGAGAGAACAAGGTGGAGCGTAGCCGGGGATGTGGCTAGAGAGGCAGGAGTTGGATCACACAGGGGTCAGATCACAAGATCACACATTAGCCTAAGAACATTGGGAAACCATGAGCAATTATAATCACAGGCTATGAACACACTTCCATTCTGAAAAGGTCCCTCTGGTTGCAGGACTCAACCCTCCACCCTCTTCCCCTCAATGCACCCTCAGGTATTGAAGTCACTGAGTTCTGCGGCTAATCCTTCCTCCTTTTCCCTTGTATTTCTCAATATCTCCCACTGGGACTATTTCAGTGGGCTCCCTGCCTCCAGTCTCACCTCCTCCACACAAAAAGCTTGACCTTATTTGATCCTCACAACATGCCTGCAAGTAAGCAAAGTTGCAATCCTTATCCCTATATAACAGATAAGAAGGCCGGGCATGGTGGCTTATGTCTGTAATCCCAGCATTTTGGGAGGCCGAGGCGGGTGGATCACCTGAGGTCAGGAGTTCAAAACCACCTTGGCCAACATGGTGAAACCCTGTCTCTGCTAAGAATACAGAAAATTACCTGGAGCGAGACAGGAGAACTGAGGCAGAGGTTGCAGTGAGCCAAGATCGCGCCATTGCATTCCAGCCTGGGCAACAGAGCAAGACTCCATCTCAACAACAACAACAAAAACTTAATGTGTTGTCTGTACCCGTTACATTATGAATAGCACAAAAATTGAGTAAATATTCTTCCAGTATTTGAAACCGTTTTCTGACTCAGCAAAGAAGTTGCTCCCATCATTGACAATCCGGTTACGTTTTGTCTTTTTCACTTGTATCAACCAACATTCACGTTTACAATTACACTCCTTGGTCAACTGCAATCACAGTTCGTCTACCTGTATCAGTTTGGCAAAAATCAATGAAAGCATTCTGTGAGAAAGTTATATGGAATTTGCCAATTTGCTATTTGTAAATTGTGAACTACACATCCTTTATGTCAGTAAAACTTAACGACAAATTTATGTACCTATATATGTGCATACATTCCCTTTCTCCCCACAGACGACTGGTTGTTACACATTTATCAGTACAGCACTGGGTCTAGAACACGATTCATGTAGTGATTCCACAAACATTCACTGGGTGCCAGGAGGGAGATACAGATTAATGATGAAATGACTCAGCCAGGGTCACACATCGCAAAGTGGCATAGGTGGGAGAACCATATGTGCTTCCAAGGCCAGCGGCTCTCTCCCAGGACCAGACCATGGTTTCCAAGGCCTCTCCATTCTACCGAATGGGATGGCCTGGGCCTGGGCGCCCAGGAAGTGAAAAGCAAGCGCTGGGAAAGGAGACCAACGCCAGCCGACAG